CCTCCGCCCCTCTCGGAGAGCCCGGCAAGCTACCAAGAGTATCTCGCCCGCACGGCAGAGCCTGGCAAGCTACCCATGTCGTATTCAGTATGCCAAACACAGTAACAACAAGTCTCAAAATGGAGATGTTACTGGGCCCGCTCAAGCAAATCGATGAACAACGGGAGGACAGTGGACAGTGTTTGTTCAGGGTCACACCTGGCAGTGCACTCGAGTTACTCCTGGCTCTGCATTCAGGGATCACTCCTGATATTGCTCAGGGGACCATCTGGGGTACCGGAGATCAAACTCAGGTCGGCCACGTGCAAGGCAAATGCCCTACCCACTGTACTATCACTCCATCCCTGCTCACAATTATTTTCAAACCCCCACAAAAAGTATGGAGCAAGATGATTAAATGAGTGCCAAAAAAGTTAGCCCATGAAAAAAAATCAAAACTGTTTCCTAGGTTACATTTGAATGAAAAGCAATTCTTGTTGATTAGTTTCCCATTGAACCCATGAAAGAGTTTATATTTAAATTGCAATATAACTTTTTTTGGGAGGTGGAGAGACACACCCAGTGGTGCTCTGTACTTACTTCCAGCTCTGTGCCCAGGGGTCACCGCTGGTGGAGCTCAGGGGACCACAGGTGGTGCTGGGGATCAAACCGGGGTCAAGTGTATGCAAAGCAAGTAGCTTGCCCCCAGCTCCCAATACTACTAATAGTCGTTTTGCAAACAAGCTGACTTCAAGCTTCTTTGTTCATCCTCAAAAGGAAAACAAAGGGTTCGGAAACATGAAGGGGGAAAAAAATCCATTCCTGTGCAGGATGGGAGAGGGGGTGCTATTCATGGGCCTAGAGACTCGGCTGGCTGGGGTCTCTCCACGCGCCAAGAAGCAGGAGCGCACACAAGGTTAGGGGCTTAGCCAGTCCCAGCAGGGACTCTGCTCTATCCCACCTCTGCCACTCAGAGACGGCAGGACCCTGCACAAGACCCTTCCTCATCCCCCTGATCTGTAAGATGTGGGTAGCCTGGAGGATCACTGTCATGTCGAGGACAGAGTCATCGCAAGTACCTGGCATGCAGGAAGCCCTGGAAACCACCTCCATGTGGGCTCTGGTGGTCCTGGGCCTCGTGGCTTGGTCTGAGGAAGGACCCCGCAGGTGTCTGCTGTGTCTGCATTTAACATCAGAGCCCTGGTCTATGTCCTCAGGGCCCAAAGGGAGGCTCCGAGAGGTGTGCCCAGAGCCCCTCACTGGAAGAGGCACAGAAGAAGCATGGGTCTGAGGCCCTGAGCAGAAGTCAAGGAGAAGAGACCACGGCTTGTTCTTGGGACCAAGGAGTTAGAGGGCCACAGTCCAGACCACCTACTGCAGCGCCAGGAAGGAGCTGGTAGGATCTCCCTGGCAGTGGGACAGGCCCACCACCCTGATGGAAACCCCAGGGTCTTGTTTTTGTCTCCAAGAAGCCCCCTGAAATACCCCCCCATCCCACTCTCCAGAAACTCTGGGGGCTCCTGAGTGGGAGAGCATCTTGCCTGCAGGGCCCAGGGGACCAGTTCCGGGCACCACATGTGCACCGCCCCACCTAGCCATGGGAACATGCATCTGCACAGAGGGTTGTGGGGAAGCCCGGGGCATGGCGCTGTCATCAAGACCCTAGCAACTGGAGCTCTCATGCACTGGCACACAGGTTGGCCCAACTGTCCACGTCAGCCTCCTCCCCAAGGCTTTGCGATGGTGCACATAAGTAGGCAGAAGGCAGATTCCTTCGATTGCTGGCCCTGGTGCTGGCCTTTCTAGAATATTGCCAGAAACCAAGGTGCATCTACACAGTCCGTGCTGAACTTGAGAATGGCGGGTCACGGCAACACGGATACCAAAACTCCCCATCACTCGAGTCAAGGATGTGCGTTGCCCTCTAGGGGCACTGCTCTTCTGGGTGCCTCACTCCGCTTCATAAATGAGGCACCTCGTGAGGATCATATGGGAGACATGTAGGGCTGACATGTAGGGGTGACCTCTGACCATGGTTGTGGAGTGGGGAGTGGGGGGCAGCAGGAGCGGCAAAGATACCCGCCTATGCATTCAAACACAGGACATGAACCGGGAGCTGGGGACAGAGCGGTGCATGAGACCCGGTCACTGACTGCCTCTGGGAAGCTTGAGGGGTAGGAGTGGGGATCTACTGAGAGAGAGCCACGTCGTGGCAGAAGACAGCAAGGTCGTTAGGGAGGGCAGTGGAGGCCCAGGGCGCGCCTCCTAATCCTTGCCACGGTTTGCCTGACTCGCACCTTGAGATGAGTCAGAGCTAAAAGTGGTCAAGGCAGAAGGCTGGGCCTGCGCAAGGAGAGAAAGCGGGACAATGGGGAATCCCTAAGGCACGAGGGCTGGGGCTGGGGTTTGCAGACAAAGCTCGAGTACACAGTACAGCCTAGAAGCTCAGCGTTTTGATTTCTGGGGAAGATCCCGGCTCCAAGCCAGCACTGCACAATCCCACTCCACCTGCTGGGTTTTTTTTTAAGACTCCTGATTGGGTGTCGATCGCTAAGCAACAGACCCTGCATCTCCGCGGCAGGCGCGCCCTCTCCTGACGGCTCTCTGCTACTGCATGCGGCGGCAAGGAATGCCCCAAGCTGCCTTCTCTGGCGCGGGCAGTTGGGAAGGAGCCCGAGACCCTTTTCTCCCCGTAGTGAAGGTGAGAAGAGCGGCAACAGAAGCAGCTCTGTTTTTGCTGCTGGAAGCACCATTAGAACCCCATCACTCAATGTGTCACACACGCGGGTCTGTGTACCTGATGGTTATAACCAAGACTGGCCGGGTCTGTGTAGCAGCGGCTGTAGACCTGGTCTAGAGGAAAGCTTGGAGGAATCCCGGCCCACCTGGACAACCCTGAGAACCTAGAGGCTGGCCGGGGTTACCCTGGGCACAGGGAAGAAGGCAAAAGCTAGGTGCCCAGCATGTGGGTGCCTTACTGTGAAGACAAGCGTCTGCCCTCAGGCCTTGGGGACTGAGCCAGCCCAGGTCGCTTGTGGATGTCCCCCCCACCCCCCAACCACAGGACTGGGACATGCTGTTCAGGGGCTTCAAGCCCACCAGGGATTCCTAGCATTGGTCCTGAACGGGAGTGGAGTCCGTGTGCTCTGAGTATGAATGGGATCAGCTTCATCAACGCAGCATCACTGAAAAAAGTATGAGAACAGGGTCCCGATGTAATCCCACCTGGCCATGCTGCAGGTGAGGAGTGAGGCCAGTCGGGGGTAAAGATACTTCCGTCTCCTTGGGCACCCACACTCATCAGGTCCAGGAGGCAGGCCAGCACTGCCCCACGGGCCTGAGGGCCTGGCTTTGTCCTGCTGAGCTGACAGTGTTCTGGAAAGCGGGAACCAAAAGCTCATAGTGCCACAGGGAGCCACGTCCAGGCCTGGGCCCCGCCCCTGCCACTGAAGGTGTGGAGCAGTTAGATGTCACTGCCCAGTGATCCTCTGCCACTGTCCTAGTAGGCCGCCAGCCTGTGCTGTCAGTCTGCCTCAGAAACGTCTATCCGGCTGTCATGCTCTCAAGGTTCCCCAGCCTCCCTAGCCCACTCCGGGAGTATCTTCACCTCATCCTCACCCCTGCATAAGTTTGGTGAAGATCCAGACTTTTCCAGAATGCCATCTCTGCCCACCCACTGCCACTCTCCTCTGGGGCCCTGTCCACCTGGTTCTCCCATTGGACCTATCCTTCAGGCCAGGCTGTGATCTCCAGGTTGATCCCAGCAGACACTGGGGTGGGGAGAATAAAACCAAGAGCTCTGGAGCCTTCAGACAGCAGCGGGAGACCCCACACCTGCTGGCCTGTGAAAGGAGCCCGGAAGGACACTTTCCATGACAGCTCTCCACCGCTTGGGCCCTTAATAGCTCCCTGGGTAGGGCACTTGCCTTGCGTGCAGCTGACCGGAGGCTGAGTCCTGGTACTTCGTATAGTTCCCTGAACACCACCAGGAGTAATTCTCGAGTCCAGAGCCAGGAGTAAACCCTGAGCACTGCTGGGTGTTACCCCCAGAGAAGGTCTCCACTGTTTGAGAGACTGGTATTTATATGGCATTAACAGGAACGGAAGCCAACTACCAGCCTCGCCGAAGCCTTGCCCCTCAAGGGAGAGTGGGAGGGGGGCAGAGCGGAGGTGACTTGTCCAGACAAGAGGAGGCCAGACAGACCCACAGCCCTGTCAGCCCCAACCCACCCTTGCTGACTCCACAAGCATTTCATGAGCAAATAACCCTTCCACACAGACTTTTGTTCTCATTTTATTTCAAATCAACTGTTCAGAGAAGAAACTGAAGTTGCAGGTGCCTGGAAAACAGGATTCTATTCTCAGAGTAGCCTGAGTGCTGAAGGAACAGTCAACTTTTTAGTCGGCAATCACTATTTATTTAAAAAACAAACATCAAATATTCAAACATGAATAAAAGTTTTAAAACCAGAAATGATGCCAAAGGTGGCTTAAACTCTAAGGAGGGGAGGGGATATGGCCCTGGTGCTCAAGGCATTCCCTACAAAGGCCCTCAGGGGGCGGTGGGTCAGCATGGAGGCAGGACGCTGCAGAACCGGCTGTCAACGCCCAAATCCTGAAGGCTCACACTAGCCTCTGGATGTCTGTCAGAAGCTGCAAGTCGGCCTGGTGAAGGCGGCGGAAGCAGGAGACGAATAGATGGTGTCCCTGTCCTGAAGAAATCAAAGGCCGCCTGTGCGGGGTGGCTGCCGAGAGCGGCACGACCCAGAGATGCTTCAATTCATTTCTAAACTGGGGCTTCCACCAGCAACCGACTTCCCTCTCCCCCCTCACAAGCTCAGGATTCAGAACCTCCAGTTCCCTCCTTCCTCCCCGCCTGAGACAGGAAATAACAGGACTGCTCGCCACTCTCCGTCCTCCTTCATCTCACTCAATACGGTCAACAAAATCATGGTTCCCTCCCCTTCCCCCCGCCCCACCCCCTCGGGGCTCCCACAGTGGCAGTGGGCCCGGTCTATGGTTTAGTCAGACTTCTCCTGGGTTGCCAGCTGGCTGGGATCCTCGGGCGCCTCTGCCTCTGCCTCCTGGGCATCTGCAAAGGACAAAGCAGAAGGTCTAAGCTTCTGGAAGAAGGAAGGTGGCACGGGGGATGGGGCTCAGCCACACCACACCCACCTTGCACGTGAGGCCCATGGTTTGATGCCCAGCACCATGGAAACAAAAACTAAGAGGGAAAATTGCACCATGTTTGCAGGTGCAGAGGGATTCCTTGTCATTCCCCCTTAATTTGCCTTTAATCTACCAGGTTTAGGAGACCATAACTGTGCTGGCCATAAGCCAGACTCCGTTACATACTCCCTCCTCCCTGCAACGGGAGCACACAGCCCATTCTGTGGCTCTGAGCCTCATCTACTCCCAAGGTGGTGACTTGTGGGTTCCAGGCCTTGGGACAGGGATGACTCCAGTGAAAAGGATCCTTGATTCACACTGCATCATTCCAAGCTGCTAAGCCCTCAGGTACAGCCCGTGAGCAGTGCCACCACGAGGCCGAGGCCAAGCTGGTGGGAGCATAGGGCAGATTCCACCCACCTCTGCTCACACAGCTGCAAATGCCGGGGCCGGGACCCTGAAACCATGAGAGGTGCAAAAAGAAACCTGTGGCAATTTCACACCCAGGTTTCTGGGTGAGCCACAGTCACTGTGTACTGGCTCATTTTCCAAAAGCCTGAGGCCTAGAGGAGGGGGCAGTACCCAAACCACCCAGAGCCTCAGTGCCCCCTCCCCCAAGACCCCTCCGCCCCCGATCCCAGGCAGCTCCAGCCGCTGCTTCAGGTAACACGTGCTGCTTCTCTAGGCCCCAATTGCCAGAGAGGCCAGTGGGGGAAGACCTGAGTACTGAAGTTGGGGACGACTCCAAGGCCCAGCCCATGTGGACTTCTGTTCTCTCCACACCCCTTCCTCTAAAAAGTCCCCCCAGTCTCCTGCTGTCCACATACCGGTGGGCTCCCTGTCCTCCCTTTCAGTGTCAGATAGGATGGTCAGCGAGAAGGTGGGGGGAGGCGGTGGCGGCGGCGGTGGCGGCAGTAAGTGCAGCGCAGAGAGGAAGCCTGGTGGGAGGAACTGGGGCTGCTGTGGCAGCGGCGGAGGTGGCGCTGGCGGCGCATAGAAGCTGGACGGGAAGTCCCCAATGGGCTCCGACACCTGCACAGCACACATCAGGGAAAGCGATGGGGAGCGGGTGGGTATGCAGCACTGACCTGCCTTGTCTCCTTGACACCCGGCCGAAGAGAGGACAAGGGAGGTGGGCACAGGACTGGCCCTTCTGTGTGTGTGTGAGGGCCCACAAACGCACAACCCCAGGGTGCCAGACAGAGGTGCCAACAATGTCATCTGGGTGACCAGAAAGGCAGCGTGGGAGATAAGAGTGAGGCCAGACGGGTACGTGGGTCTATCCCAGGCCACGCTGCCCTTTCTGAAGGGCTTTGCCAACACACGGAGCCATTTAAAACTTGAAGGTTAGGACCCAGCGGGACCCTGTTGTGACATGACCAGATGTAGTGAGGGAAGCCGGCCAGCTGGGGCAGGAGGTGCTGGCCACCGGCCCTTCCTCAGAGGCTGCTGCTGGGCACCAAGCAGGCTGTGTGTCCTCAAACGCTGTCCTGTGGTCCAGGTGGCAGACCAATGGTCCGTGTCCTACTCGACATGGGTGCACAGCACCCACAGCTGCATCCCACAGAAGGTCTGCATCCTACCAGGGACTTGCAAGTGTCCTTCACAGAAACACGGTGTGACCTGCAGGCGGTCCTCCAACCACTCCAAAGACTGCCTGGGCCTGCTGGTGCTGAGTCTGCCCACAGGAAGCCCCACAGGCCAGCCCCAAGCCAGCTTGTCATCTGCATTTCCCTTGAGCGCATCGACAGGCGGTGAGGAGGGGCCTTCAGGCCACCTCCAGACTAGGTGACCTCCCAGCCCATGGGGCTAGGAAGCACCAAGGTTAGACTGGACCAGGCTGTGTCCGTCTTGAGGCCTGTGTTCCTCGTGGACAGCAGCAGCAGCAGGAGGGGTGGAAGGGCGTAGAGGGATGAGGGTGGAATCAAGTCCCAGGCTCTGGGGTCTGAAGTCTCCCTGCAGACACCGCCCGACCCGCTGAGCAGTCATGAACAAGGCAGGGAAGGGGGTTACTGGTGCTTTTTCTGACAGCCGGCTCTTAGCTCGGGCCTGAAGCCCGTGGTGGCAGCTGAGGCCCTGGGAGCCCACCGAGACCCCACTTCCCGCCAAGGCCGTCTGGCAGCCTGTCAATCAGAGCATTCACTGCCCTGGCAGACGGCGGTTGTGTGCTGCAGTTGGCCCAGCCCCTCTCTTTGTGTAGAGCGTTGCTGTCCCAGGCTGCCGCGCAGTGGCCAGGGCCACAGACTTCAATCTGGGCAAACCTCGCCTGTGCCCTGTACCCCTGACCCAGGCCAGACCCGGGGGAAGAATCGGGAAAGCTCGCCGCCAAAATGCAGGGGGCTTCAAAAGCAGAGAGAGAATATGGGGGAAACGGTCTGCCATAGAGGCCGGGAGAGGGCTGGGATGAGGGGATACCGGGGACACTGGTGGTGGAAAATGTACACTGGTGGGGGGATGGGTGTTCGATCATCGTATGACTGAAACTCAAACATGAAAGCTTTGTAACTATTCCATGGTGATTCAATTCTTAAAAAAATTTAAAAAAGGGAAAAAAGGAGGCGACTTTTCATCACTGTGGTCTGCAACAAGCTGGGAGCTGAGACCACAAAGGCAGGGAGCCTGGCCCAGGCTGACCCTCCACAGGTCGGCAGATTCTCATGCCCCACCTTGGAAAGGGCTCAGCAGCAGGGAGCGCTTCACTGGCCCCTGCAAGGGCGGGTCGCTGCTGCCCGCAGCGCCCATGGGCACCGACGCACTTCCTCACTCTGAACGCCAGCTCCCAACATGCCCTTAAAGGCTCAAGAAAGCTGGAGCGTGTGGGAGGGGGGCAGCGCCCACATCTGGTCTGGCGCTGGTATACCCTGTTGCCGCCCCAGGAAAGTAAAAGCCCCCCTAGGTTGTGAAGGAGCCCTTCTGGGTGAGTGGGGGCTGCTGGTTCCTCACTGGGGGCTTCGGGGTTCCAGAGACAGCTGCTGGCTCTTGAGGTGGTCGGTTTTCCTTTTCTGTTTGCATTTCGGGCCCACCCGGCAGCGCTCACGGATGACGCCTCCCTCTGCACTGCACTCCGCGCCGGGCTCGGAGGACAATGCGGAGTTCTGGGGATCCGGCCGAGAGCGACCGCATGCACAGCAAGCGCCAGACCCGCTGCACCACGGCTCCTGCCCTCGCGCCCCTGCTCCTGCGGCGGGTGGGGCCTGAGCTCGAGTCCACACGGGCACCTCCCAGGGCGGGTAACGGGCGGGTGGGGCACACCGCACGGGTCAACGCCCGCCTCCCACCCGCACCCAGGGCGTGGGACGGGCCCCGCAGCGGGCGAGCCAGCAGGCCTGCCGGGGTCGAGGGCGGCCAGGCGGGCAGCTGGGAACCGCGGCCCCCGAGAGGACGGCGCGGGACTCACCAGGTCTCCTCCGCGGTAGTGGCCGCAGGACACGTGCCGGAAGTCCCGCTGCAAGGGGATGCCCGAGCCGGGGGCGGCGTCCGGGTAGCCCAGCGGGAACGGGCGGTAGGGGCGCATGCTGGGGTACAGCTTGCCGGGCTCTCGCTCCAGGTACTCGGACCCCGCCGCGCCGTTGGAGGTGATGCTCAACGGGAGTCCTGCAAGAGTCAGAAACACGGGGGTGGGGAGGTGGGGGGGCGGGGCGGAGAGCGTCACGTGACCACCCCGTCCCCTCGGATCCATTTAACGAAGAACTCCCATTCATTCAGCACAAGCCCCCCGCCCCCCGCTTTTCCCGCCTTCGGGGGGGGGGGTGTCCTACTGCCGGCCAGGGTCCTCCAGCAGAGCCCCGTCACCTTGCGCCTTCTCCCTCACCCCTTCCCTGCCCCAATCCTCGCTGCTCAGCCCCTGCTCTGCCGTCAGACCCGTCTCCCTGACGACCTCCCACCAGGACACGGTTCCTTGGGGCAAGCAACGGCTCTCCCCCGACTCCACGCGCACCCCTGCCTGGTACTGCAAAATACGAGTCCCCGGTCCCTGTTCACTGGGCTGGAACGAGGCACAGCTCCCTTCGCCAGGGCTGCGGGACCGCTTGCGTCCCTCAGCGCCCGGAAGGTTCTGGAAGCCTGCCCAGTGTGCCTGCCGCTCCGTGACACTGTCCCAGGCGGGAAGGAGGACACGGGCACGCCCACCAAGAGAATCCGCCTTCGTGGCGGCCCGGGCGCCACCTCCAGCCGGCCAAGCCGAGGCGCGGCCTGGGCTCCGCCATGTCAGGGCCCACCCGGGCCCCCAGGACGGCGACGGCGACGGGAGCACGTGCCCCCGGGTCCTCAACTCGCGGCCCGCGCGGCCCCCGACCCCTTCAACTCTCCCCGCCGGCCTCTCCGGGGCCCAACCTTCCCCAGGCCTCAAATCGACACGGACGCCTTGAAACCGAGTTTCCAAGCGAGCCGCCTGACATAAGCCACGTACAGGGGAGAGTGACAGAAAAAGAGGAGAGAGGCCGCCACACCCCAACGGCTCTTCCTGCGGAGGACAGAAGATGGCCGCCGAGGGTATGCGCAGGCGCCGTGGGCTGGCGGGCAGGCCGAGGGGCGGAGCGTCGGGAGCAGGCGGGAAAGGAGCAGGCGCAGGCGCAGTCGGGGCAGGGCGTGGTGCCCGCGCCTGGAGAGCCGGCGCGCAGGCGCAGTGGGGCCCGACGAGGCGCCAAGGCGCCGCCATGCCACGCCGCCAGGAAGCCATCTTGATGTCCGCCACCACCAGGCCCGAATTGCGGCCTAAACGTTGGGACGCCAACTGCTCCCCCTTTCACTTCTGCCCCCCAAAAGGCACAAATCGAGAAATAAAATCCCCGTCCGTCCCCGGAGAGCGGTTTCCCCGGGAGAGCCTCTTCCCGCTCCACCCGTCCCCACCCGGGCCCCGGAGGCCGCGCTGGCCAGGAGCGCGGGGTCTTACCGAAGTCGGCGAAGGGCGGGCCGGGCAGGGGGGGCAGCGGCCCCCGGAAGGCGGGCCGGCCCGCGGCCTCGGCCCCCAAGAAGAGCCCGGCGGGGCCTCGCTCGCTCGGGCCCGCGTGGCCGAGGCCGCCCAGCACGGGCTGGAAGGCGCTCGGGCCCGGGCTGGGCCCGCGCGGAGGCCGCTCCGGGAAGCCGCTGACCACGCGGCCCTCGGCGTCCAGCTCCACCACGTCGGGCAGCGCGGCGGGCGCCGGCGGCGGCGGGGGGCGGAAGCTCGGGCCCGGGGCCGCGGCCGCGGCGTCCAGCTCGGGCCCCGGCGGGCCCTGGCCGGCCGCCTCCTGCTCCTCCTCCCCCGCCTGCTTCTTGAGCATCTTCTGCGCCGCCATGATCTTCTGGCGCTCGGCGATCAGGTAGCACTTCTCGCAGGTGCACTGCTTCCAGCGGCACTTGCCCGAGTGGCCCTTGACGGGCACCAGGAAGCCGTGGTTGCGGCACCGCGAGCACTTGGGGGTCCGCAGCATCTTGTCGGCCAGCTTGGCGAGGTCTGTCTGCAGAGCACAACCGCCGCGTCCGGGAGCTGCAGAGCGAGTGGAGCCCAGACGAGCGGCGCCCCACAAGTCCCTGGTGCTGGGGACATTGGATACACTTGTAGCAAACGGACTCTCGCTCGGTCCCCGGAACTGGAGCAGGCCCCTTGCATTTTCCCTCTCGGAGCTGCAAACGCGGGGCGTCCTGGGCCTCTGACGAGGAGATGCAAAGACTCGCGTCGGGCAAGTTCCTGGTGGAATGCAAGGGCCCGGGTGTCGTGGGGCGCATCTGAGGTCGGAAGCGTTGAATTTTGCAAACTTCCAGCCCCCGCCACCTCCCCAGACGGCTGTATTTTGTCACCGCCCAAAAGAGATCCGTTTTATTTCACAAACTTGCTGTTCCCGCCACCCGTAGACAGATATTGTGTCAGTTCAAATTCGAAAAGGTGGCTACAACGTCAACGGCCCACAGATTTCGAACGCAGAGAGATGAGCCCCACCGCAAGAGAACCTGAAGCCCTGGTCCCGGCAAGCCCGCCCCGTAGACAAGCATTCGAAAAAGCAAAACGGGGGTGTCTTTCCAAAAGTTCCTGCTGACTTTTATTCCTTATCCTGCCGAGACCAGCCAATCACAGTGATGCTTCCAGAATATTCTGGAGAATTCGGTGCCTTTCGATCGTTGCTGGAGGGTAGTCCCCTACAGTAGTTTCCATTTCTTATGCCTTGCGGGTAGAGGAATGCATCTCTGGTAGATGAACTATCGCTGTTTATGACTTCCAGAACAAAGCAACCTAGAGTGCTTTAAAGTCAAGACGACTTTGGATAGTTGGGCATGAGCTGGAACAATTGCTTCTTGTTGCCATGGATTTTGTTATCCAGGTAACGCACACAAATTTTGGAAGACCTAAAAACCTGGCACAAATTTCAGTTTTTCGGGTCTACTATGCAAATTCATTTTCTTTTTTTAATAGAAAATTTGAGACGCTCTGATATCCTTTATCCGTGTCTAACAGCAAATAAATAAAAACGATCCATTAACACTTAAGATTGAAAGATTATATAATAAGAGGAGCAGGCGCAGTAGTACAGGGGGTTGACCAAGTGCCTAGCACACAGCCAACCTAGGTTAGATCCTTGGCATATGGAACTCCCTGTGGTTTCCACTTGCCGGGAATAAGCCCTGAGCACTGCTGTGTGTAAATTACAATAAGAATCAGTACCATCTCAGGGCGTAGTTATAGTTAATACCTGGATAATAGGGGAATATTTAAAACTGCCATTTTTGTTTCTGTGTTTTTCATTTTCTCTTTCTGGTAGCAATGGCAAAGGCTAGTCTTGGTGTTCACCTCCTTTTCTTGGACCTCTGATTGCAGCTTTACATGTTTTACCAGTTCCATGAGACTAGGAGGGCTGGAGCGATAGCACAGCGGGTAGGGCGTTCACCTTACAAGCGGCCAACATGGCCGACCCGAGTTCGATTCCTCCGCCCCTCTCGGAGAGCCTGGCAAGCTACCGAGAGTATTCGATATGCCAGACACAGTAACAACAAAGTCTCCAATGGAGACGTTACTGGGCCCGCTCGAGCAAATCAACGATCAACGGGAGGGCCTTTACCTTTACCTTTATGAGACTAGGAAATGGTTTTCAGTCTGAGGCTAACGGAAGACTAAAATGTTGGAAAGAGCTTGTAAAACCCTTTCCTGCTATCAAGCACAATGCTCATATTATGCATGCAAAAGTATATTCTTTTTTGTGTTTTTTTTTTTCCGTTTGGGAGGCCACACCCAGCAGCACTCAGGGCTTACTCCTGGCTCTGTGCTCAGGGATCACTGCCCGGTGGGGCTTGTGCAATGCCAGGAGTATGTGCAATGCCAGGGATGGTACTTGGGTCAGCAATATGCAAAACGAGTGCCTAAATCCCTGTACTTGCTCTCCAGCCGCGTATCTGCTCTTTGTGTTGGTTAGATCTTCAGGAACTTCACTGGTAACTACATTCATTTAATGAGCTCTAGGTTTTGCTTTACTTTCCTCCTTCTCAGATTTAGACTTTAAAAATGATCTCAGGCCATGGAAGGTGGAATGAAGTATAGGGGCATCAGTTGGATAATGGTGGGTGGTTAACTAGATAATGGTGGGTGGTTAACTTTGGTGATGGGTGAGGTGTCATATAAACATTTTGTCAGGAGCTGGAGTGATAGCACAGCGGGTAGGGCGTTTGCCTTGCATGCGGCCGACCCGCTTCGATTCCCAGCATCCCATATGGTCCCCTGAGTACCACCAGGGGTAATTCCTGAGTGCAGAGCCAGGAGTAACCCCTCTGCATCACCAGGTATGACCCAAAAAGCAAAAAAATAAATAAAAAAATAAACATTTTGTCAGCGCTGGAGAGATAGTGCAGTGAATGGGCACTAGCCTTGCACACAACTGATCTGGGTTTGATCCCAGATATCCCTTTTGGTCCCCTGAGCACCACCAGGAATATCCTTTGAGCACCACTGAGTGTACCCCCAAAACAAAAAAGCACACACAGGCATTTGTTGAGGTAAAACTGTACTCCGAAAACAGTATTGTAGGAGCTGGAGCAATATTACAGCAGATAGTGTGCTTGTCTTGCATATTGCTGATCTGGATTTGATCCCCGGCATCCCTGGGCCTACTAAGCGTGATCCCTGAATGCAGAGCCAGGAGTTAGCCCTGAGCACCCCCAGGTGTGGCCCAAAAACAAACCAAAAAAAAATTGGAAAATAAAAATCATTAGGTATTATAAACCTGTAGTATCATAAATAATATATTTAACTTAAAATTAATGAACAAATAAATTAAGTAGAACCCTTACAATTATATCAAAATAGCAAGGTATATGTGATCCCATTGATAAAAGGGCAGGCGAGTTCCTTTTCTGACTGCACTCAGTTCAGAATGTCTAATTTTTTTCGCAGAACTTACCATTTGAAAATAGCAGTAAAGGTACTTAAAATCAAAGTTTCGGTTCTGCTGTCAAAAGGTCTGGGGCTTAAGCTATCCATTGTATGATACTGCAGAGTGGAAGGTCATCAAATTTAAATTTTAACAGCAAGAGCTCTCAGGTGATAAGGCCTGAAAGAAAAAAGTACTCTCATATATTTTCTGCTTGACCACTCATTTTCTTACTTTTTTTCATTTTTCTAATAATGTTTAAAGGAAAATTCTATTCAAAGCTATATAAATTAACATATTTTTGCCTTGTTAAGTACAAAATGCTTCCATATTTACTTCATCACTTTGAGGACAAAATACACCTACGGTAATGTGAATTTGCGTCATGCTTTGAGAACATTAATATATAATTATATATCTTTTTAATCAGTAATCACATTGTAAGACGTAGAAACTGCACGGTTTATACAGTAGACAAATCTAAGAGGGGTAATAAACCTGCTTCTTTCTTCCCTCCCTAGTCTCAATTTATGTAGGTAAATTCAGAGAGAGTTTTATTTATTTCACTCCTGGAAATTCAGAAAAGTTGATAGTTTTGTTTTATTTAGGTTGATGATTAATTACTTCTCAGGCTGCTGATTTATATAAATGCATGTACACACACACACACACACACACACACACACACTTTTTTAAATTTCTATTTTAAAGGATCATCAAAATAGGAGTAACAGATACATTCAATGAACCAACCCCCTTCCTTTTCTCACTCCTAAACCTTAGAAGGTCTGCATCAAGCAAAAGTTTATAAGCCAAAGTTTATTAAAAAAACAACAAATTTTTATTTCTGGCAAATCAGCAGTTTGACTAACCACAAAGGGCTGGTTGGTCTTATCTAACTCTGCTTCAGCTATGCACCTCCCCCTTCTCCCTAGATCCCAAGTTTCTTACCTTAAATTATATCTTTTCTCTTCAGTTAACAGGATCGCTGTTTGTACTGTTTAGTTCATTTTCATGTTTTAAAAACCTTGCATTATGCAGCGCACGGGAGTGCCATTCATAATCATTACATATTGCATGCACTGTAATGTGTCATTATTGGTAGTACACAAGAGTGAAGAGGATGCTTTTAGCCTATAGCCTCTTTCCCCCATCAGCTATAACCCAGATATCTGCTTGCTTCCCAGTCTTCAAGGCGCTCTCTGGTGAGCAATGAGAACTTTATTGAAGATTTTGGAGGAGGAGGAGGGGAGTACATATATATCCGATAGCAGATGCTTTATAAAATCCTGCCTTAGCAGTTCTGTTGTCTCAAGAACGAGCTCCACTGAGCCACACCCCACCCCTGTGCATCTTCTCAGCTTCTCCCTCCCATCTTGATGTTTTGAGGGTTCTGTCAGAGCTGTGGCCATCTTATTTTCCTTTCTCTTTTACACAAAATGAACCTTTAGTAAATATTTGTTGAATGTGCAAATAAATCTTGCCTCTTCCTGCTCCCTATATCAAAGTTACTAAAACTTACCCCACCTCCAGACAAGTGCTTAGTAAAATAGAGACCCCCAAGTAAGCAAAGCACGCACACCTGGTGGGCAGAAATTGGGGAATCTGCTTTGGTTCCGTGAACTCACCCCTCACTCCTACTTGCTTGGTGTTAGCAATGATTCTAACTCTTCTACCTCAGTGTGTGTGTGTGTCCTGTATGGAAGTAGTTTACAGAATCTTCATGAGTATACTCAGGAGTAACCATTCCCAGGTTGCTGAGCTGCAGAGAGCGATGGTTCAAAAATATGAACTCATCCCTGAGTCTCCACTGCATGCCTGCTACCTCAGCATTCCTCTTAAGCAAACAAAAGTGCTCTCCCATCCAAGAAAGTTTTGGAGGAAACCAGAAATGTTTTTTTTATTACACCTCCTGAAGGACGGGGGATTGGGAGATAACAACCTAGACAAGCTCCCTAGTTTCCCCCATCAGTTCCTGCTTCCCTTCAACCACAGCTGATATTTATCGATACTATGCTAAGCATGCAGGAAAGGGGAGAAAAAGTCAGGATCTTTACCTTTAAGCTAAGATTCTAGCTGGCAGTCAACAAAACGGGAGCTTAAGGAGCCTTGCAATGCAATCCATCTGGGGCCCTAACCTGAAGGGGAAAATTGAATAAGATTTCCCCGGGGGGTGCATTTTTTAGCTGGGTCTACAGGATGAGGGGAAGGTAGCTGAGCGGGTAACAGGAGGGTGCAGGGAGCAAACCAGCGTGCAGGAGCATCGCCGTGTACAGGGAATGTGAGGGGCGAGGTGCAGAGGGCATGCAGCGGCCAGGCACACAGTTACCCTTAGGAGTGGTTATGGCCTTCAGCTCCATAAGACCGAGAGAAACACTTGGCAGAGTAAAATCAGACTCGGTTCCACATATCCAGACTGTCAGTCCTGCCCTTGCTTTCTTTCAGAAGGTGAAACGTAAGCGAGCCATCATATTGATTCTTGCCGAGTCTAGTAGCCAGATTAAAATTTTCATCTCAGGATTAATATGGCTTTTTAAGAAAAGCTCAGGGGGCTTTTCTTTGTGGGGTGGGGGTGGTTCTGGACATGCCCTGGAAGCACAACCTAGTCCTGAGGTCGCCCTGTGCCTGGTTGTCCCCCTGATCACCCATGGTCCCTGCTAATTGATTCATGTGAAGTTTCCTGAATCTTCACACAAATCATTTAGATTCTAACCACACAGAAGCAGGTATGGAGAAGGCCAAGAGAAAAGAATGCGGAGCAAGAGCAATAGTACAATTGGTAGAGCATTTACTTGGCATGTGGCCAACCTGGTTGGTTGACCAATATGTCCCTCAAGCCTGCTAGGAGTGATTCCCTGAATACAGAGCCAGAAGTAAGTCCTGAACACAGCCGGGTGTAGTCCAAAAACGAGAGAGAGAGAGAGAGAGAGAGAGAGAGAGAGAGAGAGAGAGAGAGAGAGAGAGAGAGAGAGAGAGAGAGAGAGTTGCGCTGTCATCAGACAGAATGCAGAATGTATTGGAGCAGAGAGCTCTGTGTAGCAGAGAAGGGGCACACCAACCAGCTGGAGCAGACATGTACAGAACGGGGTTGGGCACACAAAGCACTGATATTTGTTGTAGTTTCACTTGCTAACTTAATGGGGAGGGAATAGAAACTTTCCCAGTACTTACAACTGATCAAGTACTTTTGATGATGCTATCAAATTTCAAGTAATTTTTTTCCTTAAAAAGGCCCCTGTCCGAGATAGACAAATGGGACTATCTTAAACTAAGAAGCTTCTGCACCTCAAAAGAAACAGTGACCAAAATACGAAGTCAGTCTACAGAGTGGGAAAGGATATTCGCCCAATACACATCCGACAAGGGGTTGATATCAAGGATATACAAATTACTGGTTGAACTCCACAAGAAGAAAACATCCAACAGCATCAAAAAATGGGGTGATGAAATGAACAGAAACTTTCTCAAAGAAGAAATTTGAATGGCTAAAAGGCACATGAGAAAATGCTCCACATCATTATTCATCAGGGAGATGCAGATCAAAACCACAATGAGATATCATTTCACACCACAGAGACTGGTCCACATCCAAAAGAACAAAAGCAACTGGTGCTGGCGCGGATGTGGCGAGAAAGGGACCCTCCTTCACTGCTGGTGGGAATGCCGACTGGTTCAGCCCTTTTGGAAAACAGTATGGACGATTCTCCAAAAATTAGAAATTGAGCTCCCATTTGACCCAGCAATACTACTCCTGGAAATATATCCCAGAGAAGCAAAAAAGTATAATCAAAGGGACATCTGCACTTGTTTGTTCATTGCAGCACTCTTTACAATAGCCAGAAACTGGAAAAAACCTGAGTGCCGGAGAACAGATTAAAGGTTAAAGAAAACTTTGGGGGCTGGAGCGATAGCACAGCAGGTAGGGCGTTTGCCTTGCATGCAGCCAACATGGCCGACCCAGGTTCGATTCCCAGCATCCCACATGGTCCCCTGAGCACCGCCAGGAGTAATTCCTGAGTGCATGAGCCAGGAGTAACCCCTGAGCATCGCCGGGTGTGACCCAAAAAGCAAAAAAAAAAAAAAAAAGAAAACTTTGGTACATTTACACAATGGAGTACTATGTAGCGGCTAGAAAAGATGAAGTCATGAAATTTACATACAAGTGGTACTACATGGAAAGTATCAAGTTAAGCGAAATGAGCCAGAAAGAGAGGGATAGACATAGATTGCATTCATCTGGGGAACATAAAGTAACAAAATGGGAGACTAACACCCAGGAGTGGCCGAGATTAGTACCAGGAATTTTGCTCCATGGCTTGGAGGCCAGCCACACATGCTAGGGGAATAGGCAGCTCAGATAGAGAAGGGAGCACCAAATAAAGGGTGTTGGGAGGATCCTCGCAGGATGGGAGAAGCATGCTGAAAGTAGACTATAGACCGAACATGATTGCCACTCAATGCCTCTTTTGCAAACCGCAGCACCCAAAAGGAGAGAGAGAACAGAGGGGAATGCCCTGCCACAGAGGCAAGGTGGGAGGGGGGGATGGGGGTGGGAGGGATACTGGGATCCGTGATGGTGGGAAATGGGCACTGGTGGAGGGATCGGTATTTGATCACTGTATAATTGAAACCCAAGCACAAAATTTATAAGTCTACAACTGTTTAAAAAAAAGTCCCTGTCCCTATGATACAGTGTTTACAGTGTAAAATCATCCTTAGTACTACAGTCCTTTCATAAAATGCAAAATTGGTTAAACAGGCATGAGTTAAATGCCAATATGCACACTGATCCCTAGTAAAATCAGAGTCAAGTAGAACAAAGGAGCAAAGAAAATTGAATTTAATCTTCCCTTTCCTATGTATGTTCCTTGTCTAGTCTCTTAGAAGAGTGTATTTCTATTGATCAAAACAAAAAGCAGAATACACCCCACACCCCATTCTGCTTCTATGATAATAGCAAGCAGATATCAAGAATTTGTATTTGTCTTTCAAGAGAATCTTTCATTTTATGTCAGAGTCAGTGCATACGCAGTTCATGTTGTGACTTTAACCAGATGGCAAGAGATACTGCTCCCGGGATCTGGGGACAGGGTAGAGTGCCTGCCTGTGGACCTGGGCCCCTGCATTCCATCCCTGGCACTGGTCCACATACCAAGTGTGGTAGTCCTGGTGGCACTGCTGTTTGTGATCCCTGCAACGTCACAGAAACACAGAAATTTCTGGTGTGCGGCAACCAAGCATGTCCAGCCACTACAACCAAGGGTGCTCCAATCTGTTGTGCACTTCAAATACAAAAGGGGAGATCCTGGGCAAACTAGGAGAGAAGTTGATCACTATTGCTTAGCTGTGCTACCCTGGCTGTCTGGCTATGTTCCTCTTTCTTTCTT